AAAATAAAACTTTATACTCTTTTGTTGGAAAGGTGCATCTACTTAATTGATGATTTTTAAAATACTCTTTTAATATTTTATGCCTTACTAATGACATCTGTAAATTGATTGTAATGTTATTTTTGACAATTATTATTGGTTATTTTGTTGCTTTTTGTTTTTTTTTTTTTTGTTTTGTTATATTTTATGATATCTTCTTGTTACTTGTAAAATTTATTCAACACACACACACACACATATATATATATATATATATATATATATATATATATATATATATATATAATAAATCTACCCTATCTTACTAACTAATAAAACTATACCAGACGATATCTGTACATAGGAGATATTTAAAACAAAAATATTTTATTTTTTACAATACAGTGCTAAACCTGTGTTAAAACGCCGAAACAATTGTCGGAAATAATAAAAATACAATGAGTTCATTTATTACCCGTTAAATATATATGTATATAGGCATCGGTTAAAAAAATAACGCAAGTTTTAAAAATACCATTATCTATTTATCAAAATTTATTCAAAACGCACAAAACTAAAATCGAATCATCATTTCGAAGACGCTTGAAAAACCTAACTGGAAAAACACAATTACAGATATAAAGACAAATAATCATAGATATATAAATGGCAAGTTTCTTCATTACCGCCGCAAAAGTAATAAAACTGCTTTGAATACCAAATACCGACTCGGTATTTATAATTACAGCAAAAATAAAGTATTAAGAAGTCCGGGGAGAAGGCAGCCGAGCAAAAAATTAAAACGGCCCTCGAGGGTACGACCCACCCCGCGATCCGTCCTGTGCCCTGCAGCCATCGGACTTTATAAACGATACTTAGTTAAGCACACTTCTTATGTCTGATATTATTAAGTAGGTATTTAACTTGTTTTATAGCCTTTAAGCCTCTTTTGTTTTTTTATAGGATAGAACTCCCCGCTTTTTGGGTGATTATAGAACGATAACCTCGCCTTTGCTACCGGAATATGCAGGGTACCAATGAGGGATGACACATGAGGATGACAGATCAGTTGGCCTTTTATGACGATTTACCTCTGTCCCATTCGTGTTTTAACCGTAAAGCAGTTGTGTTTGCATGGCTGTGTTCCGGTTTGATGAGTGGGATATGGCGTGAATTTACAGGGTACAGAGGAATAACACCCGTGTACTCAGGAATGGCAACGTTTGGGGGGTATCGTGGGCGAAACAGTATACTCTGTTATGTTCATGGTACTGCTCGTTTCTATAGGCGACGGTTACCAATTTCCATCAGGTGGGCCGTCAGCTTGTTTGCCATTCTAAGTTGTATAAAAAAAAACCATCAAGAATTAACTTAAACATTTTCTAAAAGGAACTGTGTGGAGATTAACCTCTCAAGGCGTTAGCCTCTGGATTCTTCGATTTTGTATCTAGTGTTTAAATATTATTCTTTACTAGATTTCTTCTTTATGCAACTTAGAATGGCAGACAAGCTGACTGACAGCCCACCTTTAAGAAAGTAGTAACCGTCACCTACAGACATGAACAGTACGGGCATATTGTTAAAAGTTTTGTAAGCACACAATAGTGTAATTAGATCTAATTTTTTTTTTATTTATTTTTTTATTTAATTATCATACATAAATACATTAAAAAATTTTTATTTTTAGTACCACTTAAACCTCTTGGGCTTGTGTGTGATACTTTACATTCGGTGTGATAATTTACAATTACATGTAAGGTTTGGTTTTACCGTGTGATCCCGGCATAGAATACGCCACCCCTTCCTTTCCCATGGGTGTCGTAAGAGACGACTAAGAAACGGCAAGGGATGGGCAGCAGCGTCCCTTTTAAAACATCTCTAAAGCCTAACTGCGGTTGCCAATCCGCCTGCCAAGCGTGGCAACTACTGGAAAAACTCCCAAAAAGGGAGGTTTATGTTCAGCAGTGAATGATGATCATATTTTAATTATTTATTTATTTAACCCTTTATTGCACCAAAAACATAAAAATAAACAATGACATATAAACAATTCAAGTGAAATACAGTAGCGTAAAGTACAGATTAAAATATACATGTAAAGGTACAAAAGGCGGTCTTATCGCTAGCGCAATCTCTTACAGACAACCTTTGGTTAAAGGAGAACATATAGAAGTGGGTAGGTGGCGCAAGAATGAAATAATAATTGTTACGTATAATGCACAAAAACATCAAATACATATTGTTTATTAAATTACTTATTATAAAAAAATAATATATACTACATATACATACACATAAATAAATACATAATAAAGCTTTTTTATTTATACAACTTAGAATGACAAACAAGCTGACGGCCCACCTGATGGAAAGTGATAACCGTCGCCTATAGACATGAACAGTACCATGGATATAACAGAGTGTACTGTTTCGCCCATGATACTCCCCACGCGTTGCCATTCCTGAGGACTCGGGTGTTATTCCTCTGTATCCTGTAAATTCACGCCATATCCCACCCTTCAAACCGAAACACAGCCATGCAAACACAACTGCTTCACGGTTGAAACACGAATGGGGCAGAGGTACCCAAGCAATCGACTTTTGTACAAAGTCTCCCTCTGGTTAGTTAATGATATGATGGCACGTAAGTTAAACTGGTAGTTAATACATTAAAATATGGATATAATATAGTGTACAGGTGACCGAAAAATCTTTTTTTTTATTTTTATGTTGTATTTAAAAAAAAACAACTCGTGTTCATGATAATCATCAAAAAGCCACAAAAACTATTACTCCGTTAATAGCCTAACAACAGAGAGTAATGCACATATAATGACAAAAAAATATGTAAGATTCCGTGCGATAGCCGTGATGAGATCTCGGCGGTTATTATGCGATTTGAAAGAAAAAAAAACGGTATTTTTTTTTAAATTGTCAAGAGATTAGGTTAATAAGCTTGATTCGCCAACGTCTCAATCACTCGTACCTTGTTTTTTTTTTTTTGATGGGTGAAAATGGAATGGTAACCCCGCCTGCGCTAACGGGATACGCTGGCGGAGCACCAGTGAAGGGTGATAGATGAGAATGAAAACAGGCCAGTTAGCCCATCACGATGGATTCATCAGGAATTAACCATGATAGTTTCCAGGGAGAACCGCGAGGAGGTCGACCTGGTTGGGTATATTGCTAGCAATGGGATACTCAGTTTCCATTATTAACAATCCCTTTCCCCCCAACACTCCTACCTTGTATCTATCTACGTTGAATGTAAAAATCTCTGATGAGTTTTTATATATTTTACTAACAGATGAAATGAAAGTTGTGTGTAAGGATAAAAAAAAAAATTAAACAAGTAAACATATAATATAAAGGACTTACTTTACCAGAGGGAGACTTTGTACAAAAGTCGTTTGCTTGGCCACCTCTATCCCATTCGTGTTTCTATCGTGAAACAGTTGTGTTTGCATGGCTGAATTTCGGTTTGAAGGATGGGATATGGCAGTGAAATTACAGGGTACAGAGGAATAACACCTGAGTCCTCAGGAATGGCAACGCATGAGGATCGTATCATGGGCGAAACAGTATACTCTGTTATGTCCATAGTACTGCTCATGTGTATAGCGACGGTTACCACTTTCCGTCAGGTGGGCCGTCAGCTTGTTTGCTATTCTAAGTTGCATAAAAAAAATCGTTTTGGAATGTAATTTCAGCTGATTTGACCGGTTATTATAAACTAACCCCTTATTCATAATAACCAAAATTAACTACAAAACTGTTATAACTATTAGAATTTTGTGACTGTCTTCAAGATTGAGAAATTCACGCAAAGATAAGAAACAAAACAATTCAATAGCTTAAATAAATTAGACGTTTCTATGAATCATCGTTATTGGCATTCCACAGAAATTTCTTGGCTAGCGGTTGCAATCTCATGTAATGATTTTTATTTTATTTTTTTCTATGTTTCTCTTATTAATATTTTCTTTTTTTTTTTTTTTTGCTTTATCCTTACCACTCAGTTAAAATTATATCAAATTATACTCTGAACTATTTACATTATTTTTATTATACACACACCGCACAGACAATCACCAATAATATTGCTCTTTTTATTTTATATTTATTTTAATTATTATTTTCACGTACCCTCAAATGGGTTAAAGCTGAAAATCATTGTTTTGTTCCTTGAACAATATTGCACGCTGAGCTTCGACCTTTTTGTATTGCTGCAGATCACACATAATAACACAGTTTTATAAATCTTATGTTGTTTTATGTATTATCTATTCTTATGTACATGTTGTGTGTGATTAGTAACAAACAAATAAACGATATATCTATCTATTATTTGGGAGCGTCGTAATATGTTCTTCTCTTCCATTCTTCTCTATTCCCAGTCATTTCCGCATTCACTCCCATTCTGGCCATATCATCTTTCACACAGACCATTCATGTCTTTTTAGGTCTTCCTCTGCCCTTATAGCCATCTACATTCTATGAATAAGCGAGACAAATATAGATAGATATAGGACTTGAACTTGTCTAGTTCTTTTTTTGTTAAAATTGTCACCATATTGTACACCGCTCTACCCGCTGACTTGGACGATCCATTCCACTTTGGGTTTGTTGGTAGACAACTCTTTTAAGCTCGCCTTTGTACATTCACTTACCTCTGCAATAATTTTATGTATTATTCTAAATGAATAAATAAATATATTTGGAGATTATTTTTTATGGATGATAATGGAATGGTAAACCCGCCTGCGCTATCGGTATACACTGGCGGGGCACCAGTGAGAAGTGATAGATGAGAATGAAACAGGTCATATAGCCCATTATCTTAATTTACCTGGGATTCAGCACGATGGTTTCCAGAGGGAACCACGTGGAGGTCGGCCTGACTGGGTATATTGCTAGTAATGGGACTGGAGACTACCAGTCTGAATTACTAATAAACCCCCCAATATATTTGGAGTGGTTGACTAAACAGGAGTACTAAAGTTACCATTGACCGTTTCCAGGTGCACCTGTACTTCTCGGCGCTGCCAGAAGACAAGGTTCCGTATGTGAACAGTGTGGGCGAGCGGTACCGTCTCAAGCAACTGTTGCAGCAACTACCGCCGCAGGACAACGAGGTAAGAATCTAACGACTTTCTTTTTAAATCAACAATACAAATCTCGTGCCTTCCACCAAACTGTTTATAATTACTTCTCTCCATCCAAAGGTTGCCTGCAAGAGATCGCTCTTAGCGATAAGGTCGCCCATTGTTTTCTCACTGTGATTATTTCTTGTAATTGTTTATATTTACAATAAGTTTACTATTGTAATCTTTTGAAGGAAACAATAAAGAATATCTATCTATCTATCTATGTATATTTTTCTGAACTATTATTTCCAAGCTCTTATTAGAATATAGTAACTATATTTTTGTTAGCTGACCAACATATCGTCCGTGTGGTCCCGGCATAGTATATCCCACCCCTTCCTTTCCCGTAGTTGTAGTAAGAGGCAACTAAGGTAGGGCCAAGGATGGGCAGCAGCGTCCCTTTTAAAACATCTCTAAAGCCTAACTGCGGTTGCCAATCCGCCTGCCAAGCGTGACAACTCCTGGCAAAACCACCCAAGGGGGAGGTTTATGTTCAGCAGTGGACAGTTAAGGGCTGATATGACAATGATGATGATGACCAACATATGATGATATAAATTAGACTTAATCCTACCTAAATATTCCTTTTCTATTCCTAGCAACCTTATCCATTAAATCAGTATTCAAATATTTAAGATTTGCCAAATAGGCCCTGTATTATTTGTAATTGGTACTGTATTTCGGTTTGAAAGGTGGGATACGGCAGTGAATTTACAGAGTACAGAGGAATAACACCTGTGTCCTCAGGAATGGCAACGCATGGAAGGTATCATGGGCGAAACAGTATACTCTGTTACGTCCATGGTACTGCTCACGTCTATAGGCGACGGTTACCACTTTCCATCAGGTGGAGAGATTTTTTAATTAAATATAAATTATATGTTCACCATATTCCAGGTGCGCTACTGCCATGCGCTTTCTGACGAGGAGCGGAAAGAGCTGAGGCTGTTCAGTGCGCAGCGCAAGCGGGACGCGCTCGGTCGGGGGCAGGCGAGGCAGCTGCATGCGCCGGCGCCGTGTGAACGGGTGAGTACTAAGCATGGAGTAATACCTATATATTTTAATTATATATATATATATATATATATATATATATATATATATATATATATATATATATATATATATATAAATCGCAATTAAAATACAGGGGTTGATCGTAAAACGATGAAAATTTAAAGTTGTATGTATTTTTCAATGCTAAATTATAATAAAATAAAAATAAAAAAATTTGTCAAAAAGATAAAAAATAAAATATTTTGGGGTGGGTCACCCTTTACCATTGACGGGTATGAAAAATAGATGTTAGACGATTCTCAGACCTACCAATATGCACACAAAATTTCATAAATATATATATATATATATATATATATATATATATATATATATATATATATATATATATATATATATATATATATATATATATATATATATATATATATATATATATATATATACGTGAGGGAACGTAATCTTAATTTATATTAACAGCTGTCACTTTGATAAAAGCTGCCTTTAACATTTGCATGTAAGTACAAGTGAGCGTTTAAAATACTAAATCAAATAAATAGTTCAAAGAAAAAAAATCGTAGGACTACTACACACGCGCGATTGGTCGCATTGCTTTTTTTCAGTCTTCTAGATTGGTGGCAAACGAATCTGATAATAGTCGATATATATATATATATATATATATATATATATATATATATATATATATATATATATATATATATATATATATATATATATATCTCACACAATAACAACATAATAAAATTTACATCTACATAGGTTACAAATTAAAACAATCTTTGCGAGAGACTGGTGTCGGTACTAGGATTACCCGTCTTACAGATCACCACGCTGCCAAACTCAAGGGCATCTATTTTACTCGATTTGTAAAGCAACTGTGTTAAGTTCATTAAATATCTCACCATATTGTCAACTGTCTAACGCAAAGCTCCAATTTATCTAATTACGCCGGTATTAACGCCGCCACCTCGCTGTATAATCCGTAGCCCGTGCAGTTTAGACTGTGGACACGTTAAATGAACACATACAACATTGCAATTTGCAATTAAATAAAAATTATTTACATTTATACAGCATTTTTATTTAAAATCATGTTATGACATAACAATACATTATTTACTAGCGACCCGCTCCGGCTTCGCGCGGGTACACATTATATCACGCTACATTAGAAACCTCTAAAATTATCAGTGTTTCTCTACAATATTATGCATGTATTATACATATAAACCTTCCTCTTGAATCACTCGATCTATTAAAAAAAAACCGCTTCAAAATCCGTTGCGTAGTTTTAAAAATTTAAGCATACATAGGGACGGACAGACAGCGATATATATATATATGATATAAAATTATATATTAACAAATACTTTGGCTATCTGTTACATTTAGATAGTTAAAAACGGTGTATTACATTACCAAGTCAATGTATTTGTCTTTGTATACGCCTGTGTAAAAAACAATGTGTAAATCTATTACATTACATAACTCATTTATAAACATCGTGCGACAAGCGTCACCATCATTTCAGCCATTATCCTAATTAATTTCTTTAAATCCAATACACGCTACATTCCATTTATTTATTTTATTCATTTATTTACACAATTTGCGTCCATTTTTGTTAGTTAGTGTACTTAAAAACTATGTTGATACTTAATCACTAATAATGATCTAGTCCTCTCGGCGAGCATTCTCACAAGAGGACTGTCTGATTTATTTACAAACATGTTCAGGATACTGTTGCCACTCCCGCGTATTCTATGTAGGAAGAAAGCTGTCTTTTTACACCAGACATTATAATATAATATTATTATTATTATTATTTATTTGGTTTGGCTATTTGGAGAGAATGAATGAAAGAAGAATTACGAAAGAGATTTATCGAGCAAGAATAAATGGAGATGTCGGTAGGGGCCGCCCTAGACGGACGTATGTCGACCAAATAGGCGACGTGCTGAAGAAGGGCCAAATTAAAAGTACCCGTAACCGGCGAGCGTGTATGAAAAGATTGATGAATGTGGAGGAAGCGAAAGAGGTTTGTTTGAATCGAAGCATTTGACGTACCATTGTTTCTGCCTACCCTAATGGGAAACAGGCGTGACAGATATGCATGTATGTGTGTATTATTATTTTAAAAAATATTTCCTATTTATTATATACTATAACTTCAATTTAGACATTAAATTCGCTTTCCGCCCCGCTACCCGCCTCGCTACCCGCCCCGCTGTCCGCCGGTCACGATGCTCGCGCTATACCCCATGTTTTTCCCTTGCCACGTAACATTTTAATCCAACTACACATTAATCATACGGAACCCCTCCTGTCTACTGCAATTGATACAAGCAATTTTTTTGCTCCGTTTGCCCCACTGGTTCTATCGCCAATATTGTGAGGTGAAAAACATTTTAAACATTTATTTTAGCACTAAATATTTAAGTACACATAAAAGTTTTTGTTTTAGTATTTTTAGACATAAGATTTCTTATATGAATAAAAACGATGCTAGTTTAAATACATCTTTATGTTTTCCCTCAGTACTTATTTACAGTCATTCATCACCTGTTTTTCAATTTTTTTTAAATAGATAACCTTTATTACCAGTATTAAGAAAATAAAAAATTAAAACAATAAAAAGAAAAAAAACAATTAATGTTGCTGGTTGCTGGAGCCGCCTCGGCTGTTGCTATATATGTACAGCTCCAGCGAGAAGTACTTATATAGCGCTGATTTTCAGGCGGCCCCTTAACTCCTTTACCTTTAGCATGCGTGCGGGTCGCCAATACCTCGGATGGGAGACTCAACACGCTTAACAACAAATACATAAAACATTACAACAAATACATAAAACATTACAACAAATACATAAAACATTACAACAAATACATAAAACATTATAACAAATACATAAAACATTACAACCAAAACTGAAAAGAACAAACTCTGAATCTCTCTCACCTCTATCGCACCTCACAATGACAGCATCATAAAAAAAATAAAAAATAAAATAAAATAAAAGAACTTGAAGCGTCAGTTTCTCAACTGTTTCGCTGTATAAACTTCAGAGATAAGGGGGGCTATATATATTTTTTTTTATATAACCTATCTAATATTCGTGTTATCTATTCGATATGCGGATGAATTCATGTATTGTGACGAATTAAAATGAAAACTAATTAAACTAATAAATTACCTCTAATAAATCAAGAAATTTTATTTATTTTTTGTGTATTTTTGTACATTCACGTATAATATAGATATTAGGTTATAACAAAAATGTATACAGGCAGATTTATCCCTTAAAGGGATTTCTTCCAGTCGACTTTGAGAACACGAAAAGGGAAAGTGTCTACAGGGTTTATTTATAAAGCGTAACATATATGGTGCAAAAATAATACGGTAAATAATAAATTATTATTACTCGTAGCTATATAATTTTATTAATAAAATAATAAATTCATTTGAGAAAATTAATGTAAATCTTATACTGGAGTAGACCCGTTCGAGAAACTTTAAAGGCAATTCGCTATCGACAAATATATCGATTTATATATAAAAAGAGCAATACAGTCCAATCGAGGGGAAAGGGATTGTTAGCAATAGAGTTTGAGTGCCCCATTGCTAGCAATATGCTCTATTAGGTCGACCTCCACGTGGTTCCCCCTGGAAACCATCGTGAACAATTCTTGTTGAATTCGTCACGACGGGCTAACTGACCTGCTTCATCCTCACCTATCACCCTTCACTGGTGCCCCGCCGGTGTATACCGATAGCGCGGGTGGGGTTACCATTCCATTATCACCCATAAAAAGTCCAATAGAAAATATCCTCCTTTTCGAAATTGGTTACAAAAAGCAATTCCCATAAGAATAACCATGAAAATCAGCAATCCACATTCTCGCAGAGAACCCCCTGTTTTTTTTTTTCCACGAGAAATTTGTTAAGACGGAGTTATATTTAATTTCATTGCGTTCCCAAATTAAGAGCAGTAATTAAACTTCCTGGCCGTTACAATCGAGTGCCGGGCGCAGGTTCTGTTCCCCGCCGCGCCGCGACGGATTGCTCTCTCCTTAAATCGTCCAACTTTAAAAGGTTCCCGTTAATGACTTCTCCCGTTGATTTTCCTCTCCTGCAAGCGGTGGATAATTTAAATTTTTATTGGTTAAGTTATGATCATTTCGAATTTTACTCGCACTACGAAGCAGATGGATGGCTGCAAATAATCTCCCGGATTATGTTCTCGAGTTGAGACAATTTAAAAATATAACATCTAAATTAGCTCGCTTGGTGCTAGATATAATAGATAGATAGGTAAATTATTTATTTACCATTACAAGAACAGAATTGGACGTGTGATCCCGGCATAGAATAGGCCACCCCTTCCTTTCCCGTGGGTGTCGTAAGAGCCTAAGAGAGAACGAGGAATGGGCAGCAGCGTCCCTCTTAAAACATGTCTAAAGCCTAACTGCGGTTGCCAATCCGCCTGTCAAGCGTGGCAACTACTGACAAAACCCATGGGGGATTTTGGCAATAAAATGTTGATTATTTGCTTACTTTACATAGTATAGTTTTTCTCAATAAGGCAATGATGAAATGATTCCCAAACTAATGGACAGTGATATGGGGTAAAGCGTTGACTGTATAAGTTAGTGTAAATTTAAAAATACATAAAACATTAACATAAGTTTTTTAAGTAAAATGTACAAATAGCTTTGCTCTTTTTGAATCAAAAATTCCCTCAGAATATTTTATTCACTTTACGAGAGCGGTAGGTAATCTAAAATTCGAGGCACGGTCGACTCCGCCGGAGAGCTAACTCCAGACGGGAGTAACTCGTTTAACTAGCGTCCGAGACTCCGACGGGATGAAGATGTTACGCGTACACTTCTGATGTACCGGCAAAGTGCTACTAACACTAGCTGTAAACCGCGGCTTTGTCCGCACATATCAAATTCAAATCGTGTTTATTCAAATAGACTTATTTC